TTACGCAAGTTACATCAGTTGTCCACTACATTTTCATTATTAATAGCACTGGTCTACAAAATTTAATTTTCGAGATGAGATGGATGTAGATTATACTTTGTTCTTAAGAGTTCTTAAGTAATGCTGCTGATAGAATTTCAAAACTACTCGCGTATCTAAAGAAACTGCATGAATGCAATTGGGCAACACAAATTCTAAAAATTAACCCTTTGCATTCGAAAGTTTTTCACTGGAAACATTCCACATTTTTCGACGAGATATAGACGACATTGTTCGAAACTAATTTAATGATAATTCGCAGATAAATTAAGCGACAAAGCTATTTTATTTAAATATTCCCTACAGCAATACGAAGTTTAATTTAAAATACTAAATATTCAACTTCATAGTTTTGCTGTATCAAATCAAGTGGTGACTGAGAGTCACCTCTCGAGTGCAAAGGGTTAAAGGTATCTTTCTCCATTTATAATTTAAAATGTTTTCAGTGAAGAAATACGGACCAATGATAGCATTATGCAACTTATACAGAACATAAACATATCTCATGAATTGTTGATTTCTTGTAGTATTGTATTCAAATACCTTTTTAATGCGAAATGTCGTGAAAAATCAATCTAGTGTAAAAAAATGTGCGATTCTATTTTCTAAAAAACTCCGTCCACATTTTTTAAGTGCATTGTTGCGTTTATAAAACATGTAAGTCTTCAAAAAAGTAAATGGGTATTCTTCTCGTATAACTCATCCCAATTGTAAGTATATGGAACCGTGTATCCAGTCGTATCCCACTCGAAAACCCTTTTAATAATAAACATATTTTTTATTTCAAATCATTTTTGCTATATTTCGTTTGCATTCGATTAGAAAACTCTGTATAATAAATTACTCTAACACGTTGAATGCCGCACGATTTTAAGGTGCAGAATATGCGAAATGAAAAAAGTAGGATATTAAATGATTTCATTGAATTCCGTTGTTATTATCGCAGGTTTGTTTTGCTGAATGTCCCCGAATTAGGAACCGTTATTCACAATATAGGAATGTTTTCATATAATCATCGTTTAATTGAGAGAATTACAGTGACTGAATTTGGGCGGGGGTCACCGGTGACCCCCATGGCATTCAACGTGTTAAGCTGCAAATCGTTTCCGAAGCGGAGACCGAAAAATTGGCCGAGCCTGTAGGATTAAACTACGATAAAGTAAAATATTTGATAAAGTTTAGCGATATTTTTATTTTTATTTTATTTATAAATGTAAACGTCTAATCGATTTTATTTGTCACAAAACAGTTGATAAAAGTGATTGTCTACAGTCTGATGATATAAAAGGAGTGCATATGGATAAAGCGCAGGTTACCTGCGTGGTGACGCAGTCCGAGGCCTGAAGAGCTGCTTTATGAGATTCAGCGAGATGGGGAATGTCGTCGTGGTGATAGTATTCGTACATGCTTGTGCCCAGTAGCTCTTGCGGTAGAAAACCCAATACCAGTGTTGCCCTGGAAACATATGTTATCGTAGAGTAGTAGAACAGTAAATAACTAGATTACGATTGTTTGTGCGGTTATAGCGTAACTGTCTGTGAAAGTACAATAAAATATACGTTATAATTGTATGTATCTTCATAAAAATTTTACATCGCACTGAATATATTAACCCTTTGCGGACGAAGATCCCTTGAAGTACAGGAAACGTTTAGCAAATGAAGCTAAATTATATATCGATTGCTTAGATAATTGATTTCTTGCTATTCGAGTAATTAAATCACCTCTTTGTGACTTAGCATTCCAAATATGAAAGTTTCATCTCGCCGAAATGCCGACATTCGTCCGCAAAGGGTTAAAACTTGATTTTACGTCGATAGTTCATATTGTAATACCGACGTTAAAAGTATCCACTATCAAATTAATTACAGTATCAATTATAATACGTTAACATTTTAATAGTAGTATTTATAAAGTTATTAAAAAATTTGGATCAATATCTGTCAGATACATAGTAATTTTCTTAATTATCATTTTCTCTAATGGTTATGTTTTGTGGAATATTTTTATACTTATTTATTTACTTATTAGATGTATGTAGAAAAGAAAATTTCATCAGTTCTGTTTGTATAGTGCTTAATAAATGAAAACCCATTTTCATGGAACGTCATGAAATCCGTCGTTTTACTAATTTTGTAAAGTTAGATTGTTAAAATCCCATGATGGGTATGCGTAGAAGTTCTTCTCGATGTCGGAATCTAGTGTGTGAAAGAAAATATATTCTCTTCTGTATTCTAGTCATTTTATACGATACTTTTTTTTTGACATTGACTTTTATTGTACAATTCATAATTGAAATCATACTTTACTGATGTTTTTAAGGCTTAAATCACAGATTATGTATCGTTCCCTAAGAAAAGAGTGTAAAATGAATAAGAATAATTTATAGTCATCGAATCGGAGACAGATGAAATTAAAATGTAGATTATTACAATCACACATGTTAATTGTTATTAAACCGATCATAAATCTTTCAATTTAATTGTGAGCAATTGAAATTTTGTTTCAAATCCGAACTGTTTGATTTAATTTCGAATAGTTAAGTATTTTCTAAACTATTAAAAAAATTTCTTTAATTATCCTTGTACCAGTCGTTTATTGTTAGTACAACGCCGATTAAGACAAAACGACGAATTTAAGAACAGATTCTATTTAAGATACCTTTCACGATCAATTTGAATTTTTCCAATATAAAAACGCTGTACGCTTTTATTTCTAATATAGTATTGTTTTTCGAGATATGTTCAATAAGATCCAATGCGAAACGTATCTATCTATTTAATAGAATGCTATCGAATTATAAATAACAAAAATTTAGTATCCCTTTGGAAAAATTCAGAAAAGTAAAAGAATCAGATATTTTTGTAAAAATAGGAGGTTGTTTAAAATATCGATTTCTACAGCACATTTAACCCTTTGAACTCTGTAGGCTCCAATATTGCACCAGTTGTAATATTGAATATTTTAATGTATCAAAGAAACTACCCTAAAGTTATTAGATTTTCCACGCATCCAAATTTTGTACTGAGAAGAGAAATAAAAGATTGAAGGAATGTTACAGAATTTTTCATTTTCATTAGAGATACTATAAAAATTAGTTGCAGTTGCTGATAGATTAGAAAACCATCTGGAGTGGTAAGAGTTAAAAATCATTGAAATCGGCAAGGAAGACCTCTTTCGACAAATTTACGAAGACCTCTAACGACGAAGTAAACTTAGCAAAATCAATTCAAGTCACTTTTACCACCAGACGCATAAACTGTCTACAGATGGTAATCAACAATACCATTATACTAATACAAAATGAAGTAAAATTCTTCAGCTTACACTTAGACAATAACCAATCTGGCAAAAGCACATAAACACCAAACGACGGAAAATAAACCTAAATCTAAAAGAAGTGTTCTGCCTAATGGATCACAAATCCAAACTATTCCTATATAGTGTGGAGTTCGAAATTCTAAAGGGACGCTGTTGGTATGACGTCACGCTAGCGGTCTCGCGGAGTTTGAAAGAGACGGTTGGTTCGCATGTTGATCGATATACGGACGAACGCGGTTATGCGAAATCGTGTATTCCTCGATTAATATGTTATTTGACTGAAATATAAATGTTTTGTCTTGTGTATTGATAATCAATATCGTTTTACCACATCTGTTCCCACAATAATAAGATTTTAGTCTAGAAACGCACTCTCAAATCGCCATGGACCTACGGGATGTAACTCTGGGGATGTACTAAACTCTCTTACACAAAAGTAATACAAAGAATAGACTAAAAAATTCTACGAACAATAATAGATTTACCATGGCATATTTCAAGGCATACTTTTCTCAAAGACTTCAATATGCCCTTTGTTGCCGACGAGATAAGTAGGTATTCAACATACTACCACCAAAAAATAACGTAGCACGAAAACAAGCTAGTCACAGAAATTACCAACCCATTAAACATTACACGAAGCTAAAGCTAAAGCTAAATTTAAAATTGGAACTATAACTATATTACACTGTATAACTTGAAGAAAATAAAAATAAAATTTAAAACGAACAATCAAGTGACCCAAATAAAATGAAATTTTATCTCACATAAATCATGACGTGGACGATTATCATGACAGTGTTTTGTTTCTTTGCCATTGAGTGTAAGAGTAAGTATAGGGAAACAACATAAAAACGAGCAATTTTGTTTCAACGCTTCAGGTGGTGAGAGTTTTATATAATTATTAAGTTCTTAAAAAAAAACAAAGTGTAGCAATCAAATTTTTTAGTCTCTAAGAAAGAAACGACCCGTTACAAACGATTGCAACTATTGAAAACTTGAAAAGACGTTTAAATTCTTATTAAGACCTAACTTCTTTGATTGAAATATTATTATTAAAAAAGTTACTAACATTTATCTTAATTTATTTTTATGACGTGACAGATATCTATATAGTTAACTATGCAGTCAATTTATTGCATTTTTTCAATGTACAACGAAGATTGACTTTTGATCACCGTCGATCGTTCCGTTCGATTGTACGGTGCTGCAACATACAGGTATGATTGCAAACTGTGCATGTGTGTGCGTGCATGTTAAAAACTCAACTGTTAGGAGTCGAAAAAGAAAGTCAGTTAAAAATCGGAAAGACGCGTACCTTAACCCTTTGCGGACGAGTGTCGACATTTCGGCGAGATCAAATTTCCATATTTGGAAGAGTAACTCGCAAACAAACGATTCAATTACTCAAACAGCAAGAGATCAGTGTATAATTTCTTTTCTTTTCATTATTTAAGCAATCGATATATAATTTAACTTCATCTGCTGAAGATTTCGTATATTTCAAAGAATCTTCGTCCGTAAAGGGTTAAACTTTCTATTACCTAATTATAATTGATTTTTAATACAATGTGTACATTCACTCTGTCTGTGATCCACAGTTCGCATTCCATTGATATTTTAAATTTACACTGATTTATGATTTTCCAAGAAGTACATGAAATGGCCTTATGTCAGACATTGCTGTGCTCTTCGGAGAAAACATTATTACATTGTACATAAGAAATCGAACGGAATTTATTGAATTACAAATAAAGAAAATATTATGAATATAGAACTAGCTACTGTTGTATAAATTCAGATCGCATATGGTACCTCATTTAAGAAATTAAGTTAATCTTAAAAAGTCAATAAACATATATTCTTTCATACTTTTTCTTAATTAGCAAAAACAAAACAAAAACAATATTTTTAATTAAAAGAAAAGTATCATATCAACCGTCAAATAAGTAGCATTTTAATCTAGGGTAACGGCGCTTAATATGGAACACCACAATATTTCGGAAAATGAATAGCTTGATGTGTCAGTTACCATGGCAAACACTTCATTAGTAGTAGAAAATAATCGTTTTAATAGTTGCACATTAATTAAGAATATATCATTGAACGCGAGGCATTATTGCGTTTGGTACGTGAAATTTTCTGAAATACGATTCAAATAGTAACATTTCTTATACGGATAAGTGAAAAAATTTCATTCTTTCATGATGTATCATTGAATATTTTTATTTTTCATTATTCAGAAGCAAATTGCTGCAAATTAAATTTTTTCTTAGAATACTTATTATTTTTCTACCAGAATACGTGGGATCTTTGTCAATGTTACATGTTATTATATTAAATTTTTATTTGATAGTGTCAATTACAGAAATTATAATAATGGAAAGAATATGTCCAATGTACTGTGTTTACGAAGAATGTAGTGGTCCCGGTTTATTATTGATATAGCCAATGTACAAAATCAAAAAAAGGGATAAAGTAACATATGTTCAGAAAAATGGAAAACTCGTTTATTTATCCTTTTTAATTCCATAAATATTCATTTCTTATGATGAAAATGAGCTTTGTTTACAAATTAACTAGGTGTTCCATATTAGGTGCCATTTGGAATAACGAAAGATTGAGATGTGATTTTCCTTTTTTCAAGCACTGAACACAACGATGCATAATTCAGATTTTTGTAAAAGAATTTTTAGAAATTTTACAAATTGTCGCCCGCAAAAGGTGAAAGTAAACGGTAAAGATATTGTAAACATTAACCTTTGGTCGACAAAAAGAAATTTTCCATCCATCGCATGCCGTGAGACAAATTTGATGGGTTTCAATCGTGGTTTCTTCGGCAAGGATGTAGGTATTGTCGATTGCAGCCGACCGACTGCCACCAAGCATGACAAATTGCACGCGTCGCCGTCGCCGTCACCTTCCGATTCTTCAAGATCGATTTTCGCGGGCGCCCACGACTTCAGGTAGCCAGTGCATTGAATCACGCAGTACTTCCAATCTGAGAACAATACGAATCTTCGATTTGTATTTGCACTACTTTCTATTACCTACATAATTAATATAACCTACTATTTAATTGAGTAATCGAGAGTTAATCTGCAGTTGATAATTGGATGTACAGTTGAAATCCAAAACGGAAAAATTCTTTAAACTTCAAGTATTAACATTTTGGTAGGCATTGACGTAGTTTTATATCGTTTTTAACTTTATAATATACTATATCTGATTTTCGACGTAATTCCATGTCTTTTCGAATATGATGACTTACAAATAATTGATTTCATACGGCTTAAGAATAAATTGATGTAATCTCACCCATATATCTTGTCACATGTTTATTATTAAATTTAGATATTATATGTTACGTTATTATTGACATATTATATATATATAGATATATTATATATTAATATATTAAAAATTATATATATATATATATCTTAGCAACGTTGAGATACTATTAAATATTTATATTTCAGGATAATAATAAAAATAATAAGGTTCCTCTACATTTCAAACATTTTGAAGGAACGTGGTTGGTCTCGGCTGATGATCCGAATGAATGTTCAACTCAGGTTCACAGAGTTTATTTCGTAGAGTATCACAAAACGTAACGGCGTGGTACTGTGTATACATCGTAGTCTAAGAATCGAAGAAGCCCGTAGACCAGAAATAACCAAAAGTCTGTTTTAAGAAATTTCCTCTACGAGAGGAATTTTCACGGCTACCTTCGATTCGTTGAAGTCACGGAAAATAACTGTAGTATCTAGAATTCTTAGCGTAGGTTTAGGTATTTTTAAGAAGAGTGAATGTAAGAATGAGTGTGAGTGAAGGACAGGTTGTAAAACAGTCGAGGGAAAGTGACCTGCACAACGTCGCGGACCCAAGATTGCAGGGCCAGCTTTCCAGGGGTGCATCCGAGTGTTTGCAATGAGTCCGAGTGAGAAGAATGCTTGTGGGGGAGAGAATGATTTTTGGGAGAGAGTGCCTGTAAGAGAGTTGCGGGAGGAGAGTCGTGTGTTGGCCTCCGTGGCAATGAGTTGTACTTTTTACGTGTTGTCCGTGTTGTTTCCATATTTTGTATTTTCACCATAGTTTTAGCTTTATTTTATTAAATACATATATTTATTCCTAGCCCTCGATTACTCACGATCCGCCTTTTCATTATTTGTGCTTTAGTAACACTATATAACTTTCACCGATCGGGGAATTTTGTACAAGGCCGCCCACTCTCTACGCCCTTAACGCGCTGGAAGAGCGAAGGTGGTTTTTACTTAACCCTTTGCGGACGACTGTCGACATTTCGGAGAGACGAAATTTTCATATTTGGAAGACTAAGTTGTAGACAAGTGATTTAGTTACTCGAACAGCAAGAGATCATCGCGTAGTTTCCTTTTTTCATATTAATTGAGCATTTGATATATAATTCAGCTTTATTTGCTGAAGGTCTTGTATATTTCAAAGAATCTTCCTCCGCAAAGGATTAAAAATGGTTTTCGGTGATACAGCGGGGTGTCTTCTGGGCCCAGTGTAATGCGGCTGCGTAGGGATTGCAAAGCTCTTCGACGATCCAAGATTTATGGCATCCACTTGCGCTGTTGAGGTTGTCGCGAGAAAACTACGTGGACTCATCTGCCCGCGAAGTGGCTAAAAATGCTAACAACGCTTTCTCAAAAATAGCGTCTTACATTGTGCATTCCATAAATCTTGCTGAAGCTATCCGCTACAATTTATAACAGTATACAGGGTGTAACAACATTGTTGCGCACAAACGATAGGACATGACAACTTACTAAACTGAGTGAGAAGGCTCAATGAACATGGATCCGAAACTCAATACTTTCGGAGGTAAAAATTGGTTTAGTTTAAAAAAAGAATGCGTACGGTCAATATCGTTTTGCGACTGAGTGATACTGGTATATTTGGGAAGTACGGTGACCGCGGCTGGAAAATCTTGAGTGGCTGAAGAAGTGTGAAGGTAGAGTGTTGGAATCGAGCGACTGGACCGTGAGAGTGTACCGACTGCGTGAGTTTTGACTATGAATGCGAGGGTCAGAGTGCAAGTGAGAGGGATGCGAGTGAAAAGAAAGAAAGAACGATCAGAGGTGAGAGATTAAACTGCGTGGGAATTCGACGACGTAATTTTTAACTGGTCATAGTTCTGGCGTAATTCTGTAAGCTACTTGTGACCGTCAATAGAGTCGTAGGAAAATAGTGTTATTATAGCTTCTAGTTTTAGATAATAAACTGTTTTCGTTAATTGATCCCACAGTACTGAGTACGCGCATTAAATTTATTATCGGTGTGCATCGACGTTCAACAGTATCTGTCTGCGATAATAGATACTATTTTCACATCTCATCGTAGAATATGAGCGCATTGCGTAATCAATAAGAATTTATTGAAATTGAAGATTTTTTCCTGAGTAAACAATTTAGTTTCAATGAATATATTGTAATAAAACAAGTTCACTGCGAAAATGAAGACAAGGTCAATTTTTAACGGAGATTCTTTAGAAATCTTCGATCCAGAGGTGTAGAAACATACTATGCTGTTTTCTGTATTTCCTTTTTTATCACCTGTACGTAAAGAGTACGAAAGAAATTGGTGTCTTGAAAATATCAGAAACACCATATAGAAATGTCGTCTTAACACTAATTGCGTACCGGTAACGAGAAATCTCGTTTTCATATAAAGACACTTAGCTATGCAACTTCGCTGATTATCACAGCATTGAAGGAAATATAAAATTTAATTCGAATTGATTATCTATTTCAAATATATTACATAACAATATGATATCTGAGTTTTTCTATGTATAGTGATATAAGTTGACCTCAGTGAAAATTGCCATCCGCACAATTCAATTTTCTGAAAATTAGCCGGCACGCAATATTTTAAAACGATGTAAGAGATGAATCGACATTGGGACGGCATGTAACGAATTTTATATTCGTTCGAAAATAATTATGCGAGCAAAAACTTGTGGCTGCTATTGGCCTGCACACTAATTACTATTGTGAATCATTTCGCGAGTGAGAATCGAAGGCCGCCTATTGACTCACGCGACGGCCTGATCGCTGACAGAACTACTACTGCGATCTTCCCAATCTTTCATATTCTGCAGTACGGGACTTTTTACAAAGCCATTCGAGTTAGTTTTTAACGATACAGTACACACTAAAGTAACAAAAAAGTCGATGTAATCCTTTGTCCTATTTGACTTCGTTCTCGAATTACAGTTGTTTCTGTACTGCGTTAAGTGTTTAACACTTCGCGGACAAATGTCGGCATTTCGGCGAGATGAAACGTTCATATTTGGACGACTGAGTCGCAAGCAAATGATTTAATTACTCGGACAGCAAGAGATTAGCATGTAGTTTCTGTTTTTGCTATTATTTAAGCAATTAATATATAATTTAGCTTCATCTTTTGAAGGTTTTGTACATTTCAAAGAATCTTCGTCTGCAAAGGGTTAATCGCCAGTTGATTACGTTGATTATTTGTTTGAAGTAGCAATGTTCGATTCGTCCAAAATTGCACGACGCTGACCGAATTGGTTGACAATTGTCAATAGTATGCTACGGAAATATGTTAGCATCATCTACTGTATTATGATTCAAAGACTTTAGACGTCCTCCCTTTACTATACGGAAGTTATCGTATCAAATATTTTAACGAATCAACGAAACTACCCTAAAATTATTCAATTTTCCACACATCCACATTTCGTACTGAGAAGGAAAACGAAAGATCGAAGGAATATTATAGCATTTTCCATTTTCACTGGAGATACCATAAAAATTAGTTGCAGTTGCTGATAAGTTACAAAACCATCTGGAGTGCTAAGGGTTAATAGGGAGGAATGTATGAGGTAGAACTACCAGTATTTACTCTGTACGATATGAACGTGTTCAAACAATGCTAAGATGATTGAGGAATTTTGAATTGTTTATGACGAGCAGGAATAATTCTTCTGTAAATCATAAACATAAAACTCGCGATTGCAAACAATGAAGAAATGCCTGGAGGCACAGGGATCTAGAGAAATTTGGAAAATTCCTAGATGGATGAGAAGAATTTCATTAGAATTTAATTTCCTAGAATTTCGTACAACGGAATACTGAAGAATATTCTAGAAGTTGTCTATAAACTGTGTATATCTGAGTATCTCCCGTAGTAAGAAAGTAATATTTCATAGGAAAAGTTCAAAAAGGTGAACTGAGTACGAAGAAATATGTAAGCAGAAGAATACAACTATCATTGAATCAGTGGAAGAGAAAATATACATACAGCGTAAGTAATAGAAATGAAGATGTATTTCATAATTTCGTATCGAAGTAAAAGGAGTAGAAGAAAGGAGATATTAACATTGCGTAGTTTATAAAATACGAAGATCGATGTATAAAATAACTTTGCGAAACTGCAATACATAGTTATGATTCCCTATTGCATCAACCTAGAATGTAGTATAGAAACATGAACGTGTGACGTGTATGTGCTCGACGATAAAGAATAGAAAACGGACGATTAGGTACGGACGAATACAAGTGTGCAAGAATTGGATTGCCCGAACGAAGTTTGCGCACGACTAAGAATTTATTGCCAATCTGTAGAATAAACAGTTAACAATATTGCACAAGGAATACGTTGCACTGATATAAAATCATTAAAAGTAAAGGCAGCTATTTGAACAATCAACCGAAATGAAACGGTAATAAAATGACGCGATAACTACGCAAACTTATAATGTTATATAACATTTATATAATTCTGTTCATGTAATACACGTAATAGATCTATCTTATTAACGGCGTGTACCGTGCCTGTGACGTTGCGTAACTTCGATACGGCCAGTTTCTGTAAGATAGTTCCTTGAACAGAGTATGCGAGTCTTTATTGGTGTAGGTCGCTGTTTGTATTACGCCAAAATTGGTCGCAACGTTGACTTTATGACACGGCAGACGTATAAGATGTTCGACTACGTGGGATCATCCTGTTGCGCGATAGTCCAGTAAAAGGTCTGGCGCGCGATTGACTGCGCCAGGTTCTAACGGATCTCCCAACGGTGAGATTTCATGTAGCTGACTGTTATTATGCGACGTAACAGTAAATATGCTATCGGGCAAGATAAATGTTGATTTGAAAATTATTGAGCAGTCATGCAAAAAATAAGTGTTTCAACGTAACGACTAAAGGGTTTTCCAATAGGGACGGGTCGATGTTCACAGTCTGTGGCGGCCATGTTGTTTTGGCGGCGTCTGTCAAATCTGTTGCTTGTAATTCAGTCAGGAATGCCAAATCACCATGGCAAGTTACACGATTGAGCAGCACGTTCAAGTGATAAAACTTTATTATCAAAATGAGTATTCGTTAGTGCAAACGTTGCGCCTATTTTATGGCAAACGTTTGGTGGCCAAATTCGAGACGAATTAGTACGATGAGTTAGAGTTAAGAAATCATTTCAGGTAACAACTGTTCGAAAAACGTAAACATGTACTCTACACCCCCTAGTTTCAGAGATACTGTGAAAAATATACTTTCAACCCTCAAATTGGAGGGGTGTTTCCAGCCCTTCAAAGTGGATGTTGGCCGGTAAGAAAAAATACGTGTGATAAATTTCCTTGAGAAATATGTCTCACGTAAGTTCCATCAAAATCGGCGTGCGCTGGTTGGAAATGTTACCTTGTTAGTCATGGTTATTGTATCGTCGTTGAACGAAGTTTGTTTGTGACATATGTGACATATGAACGACACATTAACGGCACATGTAATAACGGTGAGAACTTTATTTCTTCAGCAAGTCTCAAATATTCAGGTAGAGTATGCAGCACTCGACAGTAATTATCGTGTTACTGAGCTAATCTAAATATGTAGTAGTTGAAAGAGCTTCGAATGAGATTGGCGTAATTTAGTCATGTATAATCAAAGTATAGGATTTTATTAAAAATTACGATTTAGCAAGATAGGTGACTATAAATGTATTACGAAAATTGTATTAACGATCGACGAAATAATGTGCAAACGACCTCAATGATTAACGAGTGGTTGCAAGACAGTATTACTTGTAATAGTAAAAGTGAATACGCAGATTTGGTAATGAATGAAAATGTAAGCAAGAACGTACGTTTATCTCCGCTACAATGTGATGGGCAACTGTAGATCTGTACACATGCAGGGTAATATAGAATTAAAATAGAAATTAGAAATAAAATACATAGAATAATTATATTACATTGAATAATGTAAGAAAAATATACAAAATGGATATTACATTGCATATTGTAGAAACTCAAAATTTATATATTGAATGTCTTGTACAGATTAGAAGGAAACAAATTTCTTTCTTTTACGTAAGGGTATTCTTGAATTTTCCCAAGTTCTTTTCTACTTTTTTGAATTCTCCTTTCTTTCTTTCTCAGTTCTTTTCTATCAATTATTTCAGTTTCCTGATTCTACTACTATAAAAATTATAACTTGTGTAATCCGTTTCTCTTATTCCTTCTCAGTTTTCAAAAAAACCAATTTTGAAAAAAGTGTTTTCAATTGTGGACATTTATTGTGTCTTACAATTAGTTACGAAAATTTCTGAAACTCTCATTGCACAAACTTATTCTATGGACATGATAAACATTTAAACATGTTTAAACAACGCTGAAACGCTGAACGGTATACGAAACGCACCAATTTAAAATTGATATTTTTCAAATTATCTTAAAAACACACATTAATTGTGTGTGAAAACAATTATGAGAAACATAACGTACTGACAGTAATTTTCAATGCCAGCGATTGCCTCCTAAACACAATGCAAACGCAATTAGCCGGTTTATCCATGTAAATATATTAAGCTTGCTTTACTCAGATATTTGTGTTACCTACATATATTCACATTCCTTTATTATTTATGTATATTTTTGCAAAAACAACAGCAGCTGCTGTATTGGCCGCTCGAGTCGTCTACAAATGATATCTAGACATAGAGCTTGGAGTACCCATGATCAACCGTGTGCAGTGTTTAGAGATATTCCGACAATGAACAGTGGTCAATTTGCTCGGAAACGTGGTGAAAATAGAAAAAAAAAGTTTCCAGTTCATGGAATCTAATTAATGGCATTAGGAAGTAGGACATCTATGTATGATTTTCTGTCATTTTCATCAAAGTTACTAGTAAGAACTTATGAAACTACTTTGAAGTTAAATTACAGATTATCAACTTACTGTATCAAAACAAGAATTATAAATAATAATTTAATATCATATGGGTTATGTTATACACAAAATTAAAACGCTCGAACAACTATTATAAATGATAACAATTTATGTACATATCTTTCATATCCCTTTGTAAGTACAAAGTTAACGATTCGCCTATATCCAGTGACGATTTTTCTTCTAAATGATGTTTAGAAATTCTTTAACAAATTTCAATCGAAATCAGGTGTGTCATCCTGCCACTGTTCAAATTATAGCTATTTATTTCAAAAGTGATATGCGGAATTGCAGAGTGTGGTTCAATGTGTACGAGCAAATTTTACCTACCACGCGAAAGGGATTAAATTTGTATTTAAATGATATTTAAAGGCTCCTTAATAAATTCTAATTGGAATTAATTGCGGTTTCCTACAACTTTACAAACTAAAATAAGGTAAAGCCAATAATTTTCGTTAAGTTTTCTACATGGGCTGGTATATCGTCACAAATCCTCGTGCGTATTTATTAGAAACTTTGTGAAGGATGTAGTAATGTTTAGTGATTTATTTTGTCCGCTTCGCATCTGAATGTTTATCATAACATACTTGATTTGTACTAAATACTTCGGTGGAACTCTTTTGAACATTATTGTTCTTTAGAATACCCCTGCGAAGCTGATCAGATTTTTCCACTATCACTACAGCGTATAATCGATCAAGATAGATTTTGAACTGTGCAGAGAACCCCCTAACCCCTAACTATTTATTTATTCGAGAATATCTGGGAGTCATTGCAATGTTACCTTTAAATGGTACAATTGCGATACTACAAATGAATATAGAAAAAATTGTTAAAACAAGTAGAGGTTGCAATAAAATAGAATGTCGATTCTGAATCGACATAGGACTGCTAAGGGCTAAGGATATGCAACAAACTTTACGAGTTTAAAAGAAATGGGTAACTATGTAGGAATTTCTATGTGATTTAACGTGGAATGTTTCGTACGGATCGCACGACACAGGAAACGAGGAGAAGAACTATAAGCTGTCTTGGATGGACTCCTAGTATTGTTGGCTCCTTTTCACCATTCCTAAGATACCTTAACGCGAATATTTTGCCGCGTGATTCAGCAAACACGGAGACTGGATAGCGGTTCGATGACCGATGAAAGAATCGCCTTATCTACCAGTCAACGATGTTTCCATAGTTTCACTCAGAATTTCTTTAAAATATCGAATAAATTTTTAAAATTGAAAACGTTTGGATTAAAAACGTAATACATATTGAATTAGTAAAAAAGATGACTGAATAGTTTTTTCACAAATACACCTCTTTACGCATACAATTATTGGAAAATATGTATCTTTATGGAAAAATGTGCCAAGTTTTCATAATTCCAAAATATGCTTTACTTATTCTATATGACAAAATATTTTAAGATTTCCAGTTACAGAAAAAGTTTAGTTTAGGTTAAAATGAAAGTCACAGAAGGAACGAGTGGGCTAAATGTTTGGGAAAACCATAGGTATGAATGAAGGCTATCTGAAGTAGATAGCCTACCCCCTTATTTTGCTATATCCTTTATGTCTCTACGAGTACATATAGGAAGTATACCAAGTTTTCAATGCTTTATTTGCATTCATAATATTTTTGTATTACAAATTGTATTACTTGTACGACTTTTCTGCAGAACTTTTTTATATGTTTGACAGAAATTTCGTTGATTGTAAAATTCCTAGAAACCTATAGGCTAAGTTTGACGGACTAGATTTTCTAGGTATTGATATTTTCTACAGATGTTTAAAAAGATTAGATTACGAGCTTCTATTGTGAGATTTTCGAGTTTAAAATGATCTAATTGTTCAACAAACATTCAATTAAACGCTTACCAATATTCTGTTGTTTTTTTCGTCGATGACAGCCGCTGGTGGTATCAGCTTCTTCTTTCACCTGTAGCTCGTTGCAACGACCGCTCTCCACTTTTCGCTTCATTCTGCAGAAAAATGACCTTCGCGCTCCTGGGCAAAGTCTTGAAACACCTTGGGGCACGTCTGTTTTCACTGGTAGCATCGCTGGAGGGAAAAGAAGAAATTGTTAACACATTATCTCTAGACACCTTCAAGGCATGAACTGTTTCGTCGGTAACTATACAATACTTTATAATTATACTGCGCCGCTTCACAAAAGTGTTTGAAAAATGAAAGAAATCACTAACCTAACAGAATCATTCCGTCTCAGGTGTATTGCTTGATTTTAATGAAAATATACATAATCCGTGTATACGCGTTATGCACCATACGTAAGAAAACTGTTAAAACATTTATCCATTGCATATCATGTTTTAAATACATGTGTGGAATAATGTATATTTAAGATTAACATACGAAAGAGAACCATTCGATATAAGCCACGACAACGACACGATCTAACAACACATTATCAGATCATATTTGGCCTGATAATAATGTGGTCCAAAGAACTGAGCTTCGGAAATGACATCATGACGAACATTTGACATCACTCGTCAATAAAATGATATTTCTTGAAAAACAACAAAAGAAGTTAAAGACTAGGCCAAATAAGGACACTATTAAAAGAAGAATGAAAACTAATAAGAAAGGACGAATTAATAATATAATTACAAAATCTTCTAGAGAAGAGTATTGTATTTATTGCAATGAAACGTTTATTCAGCCACTTTCAGAAGACTGGACTCAACGCAATCTTTGCAAAGAATGATGTTACGAAAACTGTGCCAACAGAAGTGGTGTAAAGGGATAATATATTTGCGATAAATGTGTCAACAGTTGATTTTATTGTTACGAAATTGTATAACATGGAATTAAGTAGAAAGATTTTTACAAAAGATTGAATTTCTTTTTAGATCACCGAATGATCAGCGAAAAACTAATAGTTAAAACTTAGAATGAAATTTTTTTTTATGAGTTTGTTGTTAATACACATTCAGCTTCAAATGTTAGCAAAACAATTCTTAAGAAACTTAAAAATCTTCGTTTTATAAGCAAAAAACTGAAAAGTGAGATCCCAATCCTGGGGTGAATCGGATATTTCTCATTTTTCAATTTTTTGCTTATAAAACGAAGATTTTTAAGTTTTTCAACAATTTTTTGTTACTGATATTGAAGTCGAATGCCTGTTAATAAAAAATCCATGATAAAGTATGTTGATTCTAAGTTCTAACTATTATGCCGACCACTGCTTCGACAAATGAATTGTTACTGTAGGTTCTTCACAACTTCCTTACTATTCATGAAAATCATTTGCTGCGTGTAAATTTTTTTATTCCATAATTCACATATTTTACAATAGCTTGAATTTATGATTAGCGCGTTATGCGTCACACAGTGAGAACATTCGATCATCCTTGTCAAAGTCAAAGCACTTGCGATAGAATTAAGATGGACGATAAATTTTTTTACTTTAAAGTTGAAATGTTTTAAAATAAGGAAAACATATGCAACAAGTATGATGAACAAGTTATAACCTTGAAAAAATTGATACAGTTACATCAAAGATATCTTTTGAAAAGGAAGAAGTCCTACTGTCGTATATCCTTATGATCTATCTCGGGTTATTTTAATGGTATAGGTGCAGCTTTCATTTAATCACTTTATTATTCGTTTATTAAATTTATTTTTATATATTCTAAAATGCAGAATACAAAATTGAGGATTCAACTGCGCGTTGTAATGAAAAAAAAAGAACTTATTTGTCATGCTTCTTGCATACTTCTTTCTTATTCTATAACATTTTACTTTAATTTTTACAAAATTCATCGATTTTTCTCAATTCTATCGAAAGTTCTTTGATTTTGACAGAAAAATAACCGAATATTCCCATTGTGTCCTGCGTCGGTCAGCGATAATCGATGGTAAACTTTCAGTTCATACCTTGTTGGTGATGGACGATAGTAAATATAAAAAATATTGCTTTAATACAAGAAATTTAAATTTGAAATAGCCTGGTATGTATTTCGAAATGAAAATAATAACGTTATGAAACAAGAGAAAGTACAGCAGATATTTGTAACTGAATATTATTTTTATACCTTTCTAGTGTCGACATATAATTTGATCAGTATAATTATATATTTTCGCAATGCGTAAAATATTTTCTTCTAGGTTTAAAACTACATCGTAAATAAACGTAATCTTAATGTTCCACAAATAACGTGTTGGTATTACTGAAACGTAATTAAACTATATGATTTTGGAACTGGTTCTAAAAGAGATTAAAAGTACCTATGTACGTTACACCGCTGTGAGTAATGAATAATACAACAGTCACTTTAATAGAGTTTGATGAAACATGTTAAACAGAGATAAAGTTCTCTATCCAAAGATTTGTAGCTAAAAGTGCATTTAAAGTAGTAATGTTTAATCCTTAGCACTCCAGGTTGTTTTGTAATCTATCAACAACTGCAACTAATTTGTATAGTATTCCTAGCGAAAATTAGAAATGTTATAATATTTCTTCGATATTTTATTTTCCTTCTTAGCACAAAATTTGGATGTGAAGAAAATCGAATAATTTTAGGGTAGTTTCTTTAAGATTCATTAAAATATATAATATTATAACTGTTGCAATATTGGAGCCTACAGAGTTCAAAGAGTTAATATATGTCCAAAGATTAAATTTATATATGATGATTTGCGTAAGAATAACGAGCCATATCTTTTGTTCTGGTTGAAGTTCGAGAAAAATAATACGAGACAAAACTGAACGGTCAAAATTCTACATACACTGGAGGAGTTTTCGTAATTCCATTTAAAAATATTCAGAATTCAACGACCTATGTCTCAAGTTCAATCAAGGTCAAACTTGCAGGGAAATGGAGGAAAGGTGTGATCGCAATGGTTTGAAGACTTTCGCGAGAAACTGTACAGTTCGCCTCTTCCGAATTGGAACCCACTGTATCGGCTACGCAGTTTAGGGGGCAAGGGGAGACGTCCGCTCGCCGCGCTCAGCACGATTGCTATGGTGACTCAGAAGAAAGCAGACGGCGAGTGGACGTCTCCGCTCTCTAAACTGCGTAGCCGATAGGACGGGTTCCAATTTGGAAGTCGCGAGCTGTACATATAGAAGCAGCGGAATGCTCCAAATAAATATATCTGTAACGTAGATTTATTGCAAGTAGACTTATTCCTCAATTACTTAGTATTTGATTTGTCTGTACCGTGAAATAAATGAACGACAGTGATGCCAGTAATAAAATTCTCGCCTCCTTAATTGTCGCGAATGTAGAATATTATCGGACGCTCATAAAACGTTACGAATTCGGCAAGTGTACTTACGCCGGACGTCCTAGGTACGTATCTAAATGGATTTCATGATATGCTAGTTTTTTAAGCTTCTGGAGGAATATGTGGGAATGCAGTGTAGAAAACTTTTGAAAGATTAGAGAAGGTAAGAAAAAATATTTCAAGCGATGCTTTGTATTCGCCGTTAAAATCTACGATTGTTTCATACTGGGTTCCGAGTGATAGGAAGACTAAAAAAATTTTATGGGCAACATAGTAATGTGATATTCCGCAACAGCTAGCACGATCGCGGAGGATTAAGCATGAAAGTTCAGTGAAAGGCGACTACTTAACTAAGGTTTTGAACTAGCCTGGAATAGCAGTGAGTAGATTAGTAATAACATAATCGTATGATAACAATCATGGCGCTACATTCATAAAAAGGTGTTCATAAGATGGTTGCATCATGAAGTTACCGATTCATCGACCGTACTGTGATTGCAATTGTACTTCAGTGTCAAGGATTCTCAATGTGGTGATTCTCACGAATAGATGTACCACTTAATTATTTATATTACTTATTTTCTCATTGTAATTGCCAATAAAGAGACAAGTTGTCTGTATTTATTTCAATTGACTATTATGATTGTATAAATGTACCTATAATACAATATATAGATAAATAATACAAATCTGAATATAATATGCGATATCTATCATATTTTCACATTTTTTATACGTCAAGTCGGATATACATCAATGAATTTAATAACAAGAAAAACACGAAACGCGTATATGTTTGTATATGTGAAAATAATTTTCAAAGGTATTGTACAGGCAGCTTCTTTCCTTTGTTCTTCTTTCCCACGGTCTCGTATGCCGATTCCCGTGCGCGCTATCGTCGAAAGAGTTTGTCGCGAGATTTCTCGGCGGAATGTGCGCGTGCCGAGAGTCGCATATTTCCGGCCAAATCAGCCTTAACAGAAATAAGAAACGCCGGAGAGATTCAATCGTGTAAATCTTTTTATTCGCAGGGAGTGTTCCACTCATCTCGACCATTTAAAGTATTTCTGTTATTTTTAATAATAAGTATAAAACGAAATTTTCAAATGTAACTTGCACTATCCGAACTTATATTTTTGGTTTCAGAATTATTGTTGTTGCTCCTTCGATAAAACCATTTATTTTTATTAACAACATGTTGCAGTTAATGGGTAAGACATATTCAACAGTGTATCTATATGTTATCTTTGAAGTAAAATTTGTATCCTTCATTTCCCTATTACTATACAAAGTATTGTGTCTAATTGACACATTGAACTATTTTTATCACAAGCACTTAGGAATCCTATAAATATTCTTCCATGTGTACATGATTCCATGTGTAATATTTATTTTGTTTGGAAGCACTTTCTCACTATTTCCTAAATTTCTGAACATTTCCTTTTGTGCGGTTTCTTTTATGCGGTCCCTATCTACAAAAACAAGTTCGACTGTATTATTTACATCTCTCGCTATTAGCTCGCGTAATATTTTGCTATCGACAATTTGGAAATGCAACAAAATTGTCCATTCTATTTCAAGTGGAAATTTAATTTGAAGATAATAGCAAAATAGTTGTTTGCTTTGATCCGTGGGTAATGGATAATATTGATTATTGTCGAATTAGTCTAGGAATCACGAGTCTCACTCGTCATTGTACGGCAAGGAGTTAACCCTGTGCAATTTTAAACCTTTGCACTCGAAAGTTTTTCACTGGAAATATTTAACATTTTTCGACGAGACACAGACGACATTGTTTGAAAATAATTTAACGAAAATTCACAGATAAATTAAGCGACAAAGCCATTTTATTTAAATACTTCCTATAGCGATACAAAGTTTAATTTGAAATACTAAACATTCAACTTCGTAGTTTCGCTGTATCGAATCAAGCGGTGACTGAGAGTCACCTCTCGAGTGCAAAGGGTTAAACCTTTGTCGCACACTGAGCTATTTACCCGATCTAGCCACTCAGAAGTCTATTTTAAAAAATTTACGTAAACTGTAAAACTGTTATTATTTGAGATAGCTGAATATGCGAGGGACAATGTCCGATGAAGTTGTCGACGTGCTGCGCCCGCTCCGGTTTTCACAATTTTCAAACATATTGTTGGGAACATGATGTTGAATAACTTTCTCTTTTACGTGTTGTCAACGGAAGACAGTAAATTCCGAGACAATCGTGACAAACTTTTGCTACTGCTACACTGAATTCTGTATAAGGTGGGGTGGGGTAAGTGCATAAACGGGCTCTTATTAACACATTCATTCTGATTAGTACATTTGTTGAAAACTATCATTTTTTAACATTTAATATTGTACCATTACTATTAATATATTTTAGATCTTTTTATGTTAGAACTTTATTTCACTAGTTCCTTTGTATTTATTTATTTTATTTATTTGCTTCACTCGAAAACGAAACAATATGATATAAGGCTTCAAATCGATTTTAATGGTCGGTTGTGCACATGCCCCATTTTCGGGGAAAGTGCACAGTTGTTGGATTTTTTACAATTTTCTGAAAAAATTAAAATATACAAGTGAAATTGGCGTTAATGTCAATGTTAATTAAAGCGTATGAACTCAAGTATTCGTTGATTTCAATGAATGTTAAAGTATTATAAAACAAATTAAAGATATATGGGTTGAAAGGCAAACTTACTAAAAACTGGGGTGCACTTACCCCACTCCACCTTATATAAAGAGAACCATAAACCGCGGAGTACCGAAATTAATTCGAATAAGAAAGTTTCGTTTCACGGTCGACGAAAAATCATGTCCCAGCGTATTGTTAAATGTATTATCATGAAAATATTCGTAATGAAAAGTGACCACACGGGAATTTCCTTGCTTTAGAAAGTCAATCGCTGCTCACTGGTTTCGCAGCGACGTGAGTTGGTGATCAACGATCGAGTGGACCTCTCGATCGTCACGGACCATCGGCTTCTTTTCAAGACCTTTCGCAATTCTTTTATCTCGGGGCTATATTTCAAAGATATTTATCGATAGGCAGACGCTGCCGGACGACTGACATTTATCAGACGTAAAATGCACCGACGAATCACTAGAAACAGCAAACCGGCCCGCAGAATGTCGAAAGGTGTCATAATTAATGGATTCTCGTCTAGAAAGTCGATGAAGCTGGTCGTAAACCAGTGATGGGATCAATTTTTAGCGTTTACTTGACTGAAGTAAACCGGCAGCCAATATAATTTTACATGTCTCTTAAGAAATACATTAGTTGGCACAAGAAATGTGTTCGCGCTTAGAATATATCTGTTTAAAAAAATATTACTGACGCGTTGCTCTGGGATGAAATATCTTTACGGTGATCTTATGGGGCTGTTGTTTTTATGAAATTGTGAACTTCAATGATTTTATCACGCATGTTTGATTGACATATGATTACAGTTTACAATGCAATGTGTATACGAATTTCGAATTTTATTTTGTGTATCTAACAAATCAAATTATAACGATTATTGAAAGTGTATTTCAAAAATAATCATATAAATTCCCCCATAATTCTTCATCCATGAACATAGAAATGCATATTTACGATTTATTATTAGAAAGTGAAGAATAAAGGTAAACTCGTTGATTAGATGAACGTAAGCACATACGTGTAAAGTTGAAAAGTAAGTATCTACATACATACATTTGCTTAGAAAGATAAAGTAGTAATCACTTAAACTGTTCTTTGAAATTCTTGCATAGAAATAACTTCTGCATACGTAAACAGAGTAGATAGAATTTTGAAAATTTATTTTATCAAACAATTAACAGAAGTTTAAAATTTCCGATTAATAAACGTCTCCTTTTAAAATGTGTAACGTTTCTGATAGACAGAGATATATTAATAATTATTACAAAGTAGTGAAGTGTAAGTTAGTGAAGTCTTCCTATTTTGTCGTTAACTTATCATTAGCGTTAACAAAAATGGTGAAATATTTTGAAGAGAAAAAATACACCGTATTAAAACTATCTTAACATGATTGAATAAGGGTATTTTAGTTTTACCTGTTGAAAAAAAATGTACCAATAAATATTAACTTAACAGAGGTACTCACTTTTTGCGTCTATTAGTCGTTCGCGTGGGCTCAAATCTGAGGAGGATAGCTGTTCTTTTACCTTGGCGACATCTTTCGGATGCAGAATATCGAACCAACTTTGACCCAATAGATCACCCTGTAAAACAAATAAAGTTTATTTGTATTTTTCCTGGTATCCATTTGAATACATTTTAAAATCTCTTATAAGTTCACTATTGATTACTTCAACTACCGTAATGTTTCTAAAACAATACCATCGTTAACTACCATTGACTTTCATTAACACGTTGAACGCCGCACGATTTCATAGAGCAAAATACACAAAATGGAAAAAATACAATATCAAATCATTTAACTGAATTGGATTATTATCATTGCACGTTCATCAAACTGAATGTCACCGCAATGGGTAGCATTATTTATAATATAGAAATGTTTGCGAATAATCATCGTTTAATTGAGTGAATTATAGTAATTCGATTTGCTTAGGGGTCACCGGTGACCCCCATGGCATTCAACGTGTTAAAACCATTATTAATTAACACGTTCCGTGTTACGGAAACTTCGGTTATACTTTGCTTATGAACTGTATTGAGTTTTCCAATAAAATAATAAGTTATATTCAAGTTTTTGGTAATTTCTATGTATTTTGATATTCCTTTTTTATGCTCTCACTGCTTTGTAACGTATACCGTGACTATGTATCACTATGTATGCAAAAAAATTAATAAGAGTACTTATCTAATGAGATCACAAATATTGTTATTACAAAAAAATATCAAAAAATAACATTTATTCAAATAAATTTACTTTGATTTATTTTCAAGGACTTGAACGTTTTACAACACTAACTCGATCCAACTTAGAAAACTATGAAATTATTGTTGGTGCAACGCTGCACCAATGTAACGTAAACATGTATAGGACACAGCTTACTTCCGGAAACCTTAAATTACTATAACCAATAATCCATTAACCATGTTCAATGTTTTCAGAAAACATTGTTCATATTCCAGTACATTTAAAAATATTTGGTTTCATTGTGATATGTCATAATGACCGAGTATGACAGTCAGAAGGTTAAAAATTATCATCTCTTCTTCTCACTCTCTTTTCACGTGAATTAATTCTAGACAAAATATTTCAATAAGTGCAATTATTATAAGTGTGAAATCTATAAGGCACTTTTTACACTCCTGCGATGATTGGCGACAATATTTTTAAATCTTGTATCATTGAAAAACTTGGTAAATGTTTCGTTTTTTGTTATCATGAATATGCAGATAGCGAACGTGTTATCTGTTGCTGCTTCAGCGAAATAATAATAACCTAAGTCATTATTCGTAAGAAATAATGACGATTAACAAGCTATTTCTCATAATTTTTCGATACCCCCAAGGTAAATATAATTATTTGTGCATTTATCATCTGTTAAAACTTATATAATTACATCTTAAGGACTATATATCACCACTAATTAAACTCAAAATTGTTTACCGATGTTCTCGACTTCAATTTCCGGAACATACTACACAATACTTTAGTATGGTTTAACTTTAAGTTAAATTACGGTTAAGTTTGATTTTTGTTTAGATCTGGTAACAACATAAACATAATTGATAACTCTTGAAGTTACTAACAGTAAGTAGTAATGAATTGCCGATCGGCTGGGTTAACAGGTTGATGCCGGCGTGTACCACTGGTGGTTCACACTTGTATGTCATATCAGACGGCGTGTAGCACTGATGGCTCATACTTTGATGTCAAATAGTCCGTTAAATTAGTTTGGTGCTTATTGATAGTTTCAATAATTCAAACGTAAGTTACACCGTCGGTGTCAACGTGTTAAGTTAGCTAACTCGAACGTCATCGAAGTACGATCTACAGAGCACGAAATGTATGGCTGCTTTCAGGTTACGATTACTGAATCGCAACTTCACGCATCGTACAGTGGAAATAAAAGAAACTCTATAGTTTTCGAGCGTGTCTACCGTTAATTATTCAGGAATCGTAGTCCGAAAACAGCCTAACATTCAATATATCTTTCTTTATATTTGCGAAACAACTGATTAACAGATTGACTGCCATAGGAGTCACCGATGACCCCCGACCAAATCGAATTACTATAGTTCACTCAATGAACCGACGATTATATGAATACATTTCTACATTATAAATAATACTACATAACACAGTGACATTCAGCTAGATGAACGTGGAATAGTAATGCAATTCGATCAAATGATTTAATATTATATTTTTCCATTCGGCGTATTTTCCTCTGTGAAATCGTGCGGCGTTCAACGTGTTAATGATAAGCTCGAACAGTAGTTACGCGTACAGGGAGAAATATATGTACAACGAAAATTCGTGTATAATGGTTCCGTTGTCCGTACTCATTATCTACTTAATACCTCTGTGTAATTAATCACTGTCCTCGATCACGTTATGATTATTAGGACACAGTACGAAAATATAATAAAATTGCAGAGAAAATTCTCGTGCAAAGCATCGTTCTTGAGAGAATCCAGATAAAGCGATAATCTAGCACGCGTGTTATTGAATAAAACACATAACGTTTATTCATTGCGTCCTGTTTCTATCTACGTAATCACTAGATTGCGGATGATTATACATTAATGCCAATCGCTAAAACGTGAATTAAAATCGAATACAATCTCTATTAAATGTTAACGAAATGTTATTTTACTTTCAGCTTAATAGAATTCCTTACAGAGAAATGTTCCAGTTAAATGTGATAATAGGTAGGTAAGCGAAGAAAAATAATGAGAGATCGTTGAAAAACAAAACCGAATGCAAATGACAATTCACTTCGTCGTTTGCGGTCAGTAATTTTACTACCGCTATGAATTTCTAGTTAAATGTGCTTCGTGATATGTATTTCCTATACAATTATGCTAATAGATTCATTCCGTTAACGGCTGAATAATAACGATGATCATAGTAGTGGATTAGAGTATTTGAGGAGCACACGTGTGAGTGGTTACCTGAGAATAATTGAGTGTCTGAAGAACGGACTCGGACACGTAGAGGATCCTCCCGCGATCGCAGCCCACCACGAAGACAAAACCCTCCGCGGCCTGAAACAAGAGAAGCCGCCTTTGATTACGTCACCGGGATCAAATATTAATTGCGATTACGTAACAAATGTTGCACTAGCGGACGCGAACGTTGCCGGCCACGGTTCAACAGAGTTTCAATTACCGCGCTCGGAAAAAGAGTATCGAATGTGTATTAAATAAAGAAAGTTTTAGCTCTTCAAAACTATTGCATAACAGGAAACACTGGAATACGTATCGTGAAAGTTTCTAGAAAAAATCGCATGAACCTAACAATGACAAGTAACTAACATTGGCTGAGCAAGGTCACGTGCATGTGATACTAACTGCCTGGCGAAGGGATCACTGGACCCATACACGAAGATATTCATGTGTTATTAGCGTGATATCAAATCTTTGCACTCGGAAGTATTTCGTTAGAAATACTCAACATTTTCTAACTAGACAAAGATGATATTTGTTTAAATAAACTGGAAAAGAAATCGCAAGTAAAATGAGAAACAAAGCTATTTTAGCTCAACATTTCACACGCCGATGTATTATACAGAATTCAATATTAAATATTAAATTTTATAGTTTTACTGCGTCAAATCAAGTGGTGACTGAGAGTCACCTCCCGAGTGCAAAGGGTTAAAATGGTAATAACAATTCTTAGAGTTGGAAATTATACAGTTACTTCTAGTAGGTTAGTGTAGGGATAAAAATCCCGTTTTTAAATGAATGATTGTAAAAGTTATTAAGAACGACCTGAAAATGTCTTTTTCTATTTTTTGTAAATCATGACTATCACGCTTCAGTTTTACACTGTTTTTTGATTGATAGTGTTATTAGTTAAGTTACAGTATAAAAACAGTATATAAAAACTCAAAATAGAGTTTTGGCTCCATACACAGGACGGAAACTTACTATTTTACAACTGGCTTTTCATGTAATATAAAATTCAGTAAGTAAGAAATTCTTTTTTAATTCGCAGATACTTATTACATAAATCCCTTTTTACATATGCGACTTATTTTCTATCACTTATTTTCCAGCTATTCCACACAATTTCATGTTGTTCTCTATTACCACTGTTGCAACGTATTTCATTATACTTAACGGTTTAATCTCGAGATTGATTTTTATTGTATAACGTAACATTTTAATGAGTAGGTTTTAAATGAAGAGACGATAAATCTTTATACAGGGTAATAAATTTCAATAAGGAATTTTTTGCTTCACTGGTACGTCCATAGTTTTTTCGATATGTACATTGAAAGAAATTATCACCCAGAAAAGAAACGTAAAATGTTAATACACTTTCTTAATTGGTTGTTAAGCAATAATCATTTCTGGGGAATAAGAAAAAAGCACGCAACGTACTTTTGTTACTTTTGGGCACAAATAAGCGTGGAATCGTTGTACAAGTCGTGAAAATGCTCGAAATTGAATGAAGACGCTTCCAATATTTTCCAATACTTGGCTACAAGACTTTTAGCCCTACTCTACTCTATTTACCCATATATTTTGCGCTTCAACGTTCAATAAGCTCGTCCCGGACATTTTCGTGCGTCACAAACGAATTTCTGATTCATTTCCCCCATTGTCCTGTGTTCAGCGCGTACAATGAATTTTTTTAACTTTAAATTTCAAAGTTAGTTATATGTACGCTTCGGGCGGCAAATCAATGCCACTCGAATATTTAGGGTTGGTGCAAATCAGTCCACACTTAATTTTAAAAATAAAATTTAATATTAAACTGAATATTTAATGTACAGTGTTGTTGCGCGAGCGTCTGCATGGTGGTTACTGTTCGACGAATTCACAAGAACTGGTGAGTGTCGAAAAAATATTCCTAGCGGGACTTCAGTGGTCTGGCTTCGGTATCGGCTAAAGGTAAAAGGTAATGTAGTATCTGGAATTCTTAGCGTAGGTTAAGGTACCTTTAACCCCTTATCCTACAACAAAGAGTGAGACTCGTGGTGAAGATTTTCAACGTGATTCAACCAATATACATATTACTTAGTTAATCCGAATTGAAAGTAAATATTATTCCTCTGTAATCAACTATTATACTTAAAAGGAAATATAGGCATAACACATGCTTAGAATTTTTCTCTTTTTCCAATAAATTATTAATGACAAAGTAGCCATATCGATCAGAGTTGAGAAAGAAATCATAGGCCAAGGGGTTAAGAAGAGTGAATGTAAGAATGAGTGTGAGTGAAGGACAGGTTGTAAAACGATCGAGCGAAAGTGGCCAACGTCGCGGACCCAAAATTGCAGGGCCAGCTTTCCAGGGGTGCATCCGAGTATTTGTGATGAGTGCGAGTGAGAAGAATGCTTGTGGGGGAGAGAATGATTTTTGGGAGAGAGTGCCTGTAAGAGAGTTGCGGGAGGAGAGTCGTGTGTTGGCCTCCGTGGCATTAAGTTGCACTTTTTACGCGTTGTCCGTGTTGTTTCCATATTTTATATTTTCACCATAGTTTTAGCTTTACTTTATTAAATACATATATTTATTCCTAGCCCTCGATTACTCACGATCCGCCTGTTCATTATTTGTGCTTTAGTAACACTATATAACTTTCACCGATCGGGGAATTTTGTACAAGGCCGCCCACTCTCTACGCCCTTAACGCGCTGGAAGAGCGAAGGTGGTTTTTACTTAACCCTTTGCGGACGACTGTCGACATTTCGGAGAGGTGAAATTTTCATATTTGGAAGACTAAGTTGTAGACAAATGATTTAGTTACTCGAACAGCAAGAGATCATCGCGTAGTTTCCTTTTTTCATATTAATTGAGGATTTGATATATAATTCAGCTTTATCTGCTGAAGGTCTTGCATATTTCAAAGAATCTTCGTCCGCAAAGGGTTAAAAATGGTTTTCGGTGATACAGCGGGGTGTCTTCTGGGCCCACTGTAAGTGCGGCTGCGTAGCTTCGGGTTCACGCGATCGGAATTGTAAGGCTCTTCGACGATCCAAGATTTATGGCATCCACTTGCGCTGTTGAGGTTGTCGCGAGAAAACTACGTGGACTCATCTGCCCGCGAAGTGGCTAAAAATGCTAACAACGCTTTCTCAAAAATAGCGTCTTACATTGTGCATTCCATAAATCTTGCTGAAGCTATCCGCTACAATTTATAACAGTATACAGGGTGTAACAACATTGTTGCGCACAAACGATAGGACATGACAACTTACTAAACTGGGGTGAAAAAGGCTCAGTGAACATGGGTCCAAAACTCAATAGTTTCGGAGCTAAAAATTGGTTTAGTTTAAAAAAAGAAATCCTCAGTCTTTCTGAAAGTTCAGAAAAATATCAGATTTTTAATTTTTTTCAATGTGTTGTGTGTTAGCAATGAAAGTTATACGAGTGTCTTTGGTGGAAAACGATTTTATAAGCTCCGCCAAATAAAACAGTATATATTTCTATAACATTACAAGCATTCTACTATATTACTTACCGGTAACCGATTAAGTAGGTTTTAAATGGCCAGTGTTTATCAACCGGAAACCTATAAATCGACTTAAATCTTAAATGTTTAATATTTCATTTTTTGTTAATGTTTCACAATTTTTAATATGTATTCCTGTCACAGGATAATAAACATCGATAATCTATAAAAATCTTGTATCCTGAGTTTCTATTTTACTCCATTCATTTTCAAGCAATAGTGAAAACTCTAGGTATTATCGCATAATTCAAGCTAGAAGTAACCGGTCTTATGTAAGTATCCGCTTATTTCGTAGTCAATAACTAATGTGTTAAAACGTTTAAACAATTTTTTAAAAGAATAGGACATTTATCCTGCATTTATTTTCCGGAATATTTATCATCATATTTTGGAAATGAGAAATCTAAAACGTATCTATGTATATATATATATCTACTCCAGACGAGGTAAATGTTTAGTAAATGTAAATGAGCAACTCTTTTCTATGCATACAATGGCCATTCTCTTTTGCTTTTCGAGTTATGCAACAAAAATATATGACGTATTATAGTTTTCCTTCTATATAATATCACAGAAAACGATAATAGAAAACGGAACCTACAGAATAGCGACCTTACAATCAAAGTGAAGATCGTCAAAGAGGTTGCCCTTTTTTTTAAATAATTACGGCAGTTCCCCTTTTTCGGATATATTTTTGTGAATATCTTGGAAACCAAAAGAGACCGTCTGTTATACGCGTAGGAAAAAGTTGTTCAGAATGACGTCCCTGCTAACGAATTTCAAGGTTATCGAAATCGGCGAGGGAGATACCCATTTAACTTACTTTATTTTATTAATCGCAGAAAAAAATCGTGTCATAATATTCTTTATTGATCTAGCCAAATCCTGATTTAGTATCCCGGTTTTGAAACTGAACTGAAAAATATCCGGAAAAATTGCTACACATGTATCCTTAAATATTCTTTAATCGTGTTTATAATATTATAACACTCTAAAAATATATGTGTACACATATGTTTACCGATACTTATATGGTCTGAGAAGCTAATGCGAGGAAATGAAAAATTTCACATTGTTTCCGAATTAGATCTCTAAAATACTGTACGAAATAGAGAAAATAGATATAGAATTCGTCTTTGGCACCAAACAATCTGTTGAATAGAAATATGAAGGGAATCACTTCATAAATATAGGAATACGTAACAGACATTTAAGTTTATTAACTAATGTCGTTAGTTTCTTTCATCGACGTACCGTAAATAGGTACCGTCGTCAATGTACGAGTCAACCTAATTTCGTTTAAAACTGCGATCGTTGGTCTGGCAGCGGAAAGATCAATACCAAAACGTAAAATTCAATCGCATGTAAATTGTTCACTCGTAACAGCGAATTGAAAAGTTTCGTGTACGTGGAAGCGTAGTGACGTTAATGAATGCTTTATGCGGCCGAAGATATATCGCCGCGGGCTTCGCGAATACCTATTATGCAACTGCTACGTAGTTAGTCTGGCTGTTTTACCTGGTGCGAGATCGACGATACATGTTTATACACGAGACTGATAAGTCGATGCTCACGTCATCGTGA